TTGCCCGGCCAGCAGCTGAATAAGCTGATCGGATGTGGGCGATAAGACGATAAAACCGGGTCCGGGTAATACTAATAGAAACGTGCCAGCTGCCGTTCTAATGCTTAAAATAGAATAATACATAATAGCGTGTGATACAAAGAATGCCAGACCTCAAAGATACCCAGCTTACTGGAAGTGGGTAGGTTAGTTAGAGGCAGAATAAGGGAATACAACAAAGTGGAATGACTATAGACAAATGTAGATGATATTAGGGTGTATAAAAATAGAGAGTATTAGAGATGATTGTGTTTAACTAGGTCACAGGATTACAGGGTATATTTATATATACATTGTTTATTCATTATAGAAATAGGCTTGATTACAGGGCATATACATATGTCATATATCTGATATTCCTTTATCTTTTGTGATGTTACATGCATTAGATCAATCATAATCAACTGCTCAATACTGCAAAATATTACAGGGTATATTTAACATTTATCATATTGCCTGAAAAATGTTCATATATATTTATTTTTATATTCTCAAGATTTAATTTTGATAAATCTATAACAATGTAGTGCGAACTGTCGACGTGGGAACTGCAACTACAACTGCAACTGAACGACAGCTAATAAGCTCTAAAAGCGTGCATTTAGTTTCCAATTTTAATGACGGGCTTTTATGACTTTAAATTGAGCAAAAAAAAAAAAAAAAATTGAAAAAAAAAAATTGATTCGTATTACAGCTAAGGTTAAACACATTTATCGAACACTTCAGTGTGAAGTTCTATTTACATGCCGATCGGCCGATCGGATGTGGGTCAGTCAGAGTTATATAACTAAGCAGCGTGAATTGCTGGGGCTATTGAGGCGCAAAGTGTGGTATACGTGCCCACGACTAGCTGGTCAATGGTGAGCTGCGAAGAGGTTCGTCAAGTCAGTGACTATTTGGGTTAGGGTTGCAGGAAACGCTCTGGGACAAGAAGTTTGTTGAACCGCTGCGAATTGCCTATCTAATTGCCGGAAGCCGAATGCACTTTGCAATTAAACAAGCAAACACACACACACACACATAAACGTTTTGATTAATTGTTTAAAACTTATAAACTTTGCGTTAAGAGCGCGCTGTAAAACGACACCAGTCGGTGAAACACGTTTCCATTTCAATTGCAATTTCAAACTCAAATTCAAATTCAGATTTGAAATTTGAAATTTGGCTAATTAAAGGCGCATAAAGTCCAGTCAAGGTTGAGGCGGGCCGACTCGGGCTTTGACAGTAGCGCTAACTAGAACATTTGCTTGCCATTTGGTATTTGTTTATGTACTTGTATTTGGTGTTTGTCTAATTGAATATCAAAGTCAATGACTTACACATTGCGCTTGGCCAATTCGCTTGGCATTGTGGCCGCCAATTCGGGCCAATTATTCGCGAGGTCTGCTGCTGCTACTGCTGGCTTTTTTCGTTTAATTTTTTAAGCTATTTAATCTTGGACTTGTCTTGAACTTTTCAGAATAAGAAAAAAGACATACTGCCAGCTGTGTGCGCGATATATATATACATAACTATATCTATATCTATATATATATGTACATGTGTACAGATAACTGCAATATATAAATGTCCATATATATTTAGCGGGGCGGAGCGCTGCGGCCAAACCGTTAGGCAGCCATTTGACGTCGCACCTGTTGCAAATTCTAATTTAAATGATCAGCGAATATAATTGCCATGGTTCTAAGTCTAATTAGTACACAAACTGGTTACATCTGGACAACTGTTAAGGGGGTGTGGAGCTGGTTTTATCGACGCTGGGCGTGTGTTGCCATTCGTTGATTTACAAGCTTAACCGCCGAAGACCAAGGGGAAGCATCTAAGCAATTTATCACCTCTAAAGGCATTTATAATCCAAGTCGTTTGTATACTCTGTGAACTAGAGCAGAGGCAGTGTTGTATAGAGCTAATAGAAAACAATTCAACAAGAGATCAGATTTAGAGAGAGAAAGAGAGAGAATGAGTTAAGGATAAGACAAGGTTTTCTTTTCTAAAGAGTTGCTTTCCTGCTGACTCTATCTCCCTCTTTCACTCCCTCATCCTCTCTCGATCTATATATAAATACATATTCCTGTCTGTTTCCATATCTCTCCTCTCACTCCCTACCACTCTAACTCTTTCCTACTATCTTTCTCTCAACTAGACTTTCTCTCTTTTCTTCTTTTCTTCTCTTTTTCTCTCTTTTATCAACCTCTCTCTGTCTCTCTCTCTCGCTCTCACTCTGACTCTCCCACTTCCATTCTCTCTCTTTCTTATTCTCTCTTTCTCATTCTCTCCCTCTCTTTCTAATACTCTCTCCCTCACACACTCTCTCCCTCACACACTCTCTCACTCTCTCACACTGTCTCCCTCTCACCAACCCAAGCTAAGCTTAGCTTCAAGCCCAACATTCATTCATTCATTGCATAGCAATTTAGCTCTAATTACAGGGTATCTTCATGCGCTAGCAATATATTTGAATAATTTGAACCTCTTTAGGCACACATGCAAAACATTTGCAAGTTCAACACCAGCTCCTCCGGCTGACCTTCGGAACAGATGCCTTAAAGGTGCTGCTATCATGCAAAGTAAGTTCCAGAACATTATTGTGGCGATTAGGTCCATAATTAAAAGTTATTACAGCACCGATTGGCCATTGAATCGGATCGGGCTATAGCTAATTGCATAAAAGCAAATCTAGAGACAGGTGCTGCGGCTGCGGTTGCGGCTGCTGTGCTAATCAGTTCAACAGCTTGGTCCATAAGCGACACCTGGCCCAGACACCGCACCTGGACTTAACTATAGAAGGGCCTGGTTAGCCGGGTGGCTGCCCGGCTGGCTGGCTGACTGGCTGGCGACTTTCAATCATAAATTAACATTAGAATTTTAAATTGTGCGACCAATTAAAAATAGTTGGGCGAAAAACCTGTGAGATTTCATGCCCCACTCGCTCGAACAATTACAAGAAAATTGTGGCTCGGTTGCCAAGTGCACAATGCAATAAATAGATATAATACACATATATGCTTATATAAATATCGTTCACAGGGCCAACAGGTGCGGTGCCCACCACAAAGTCTGCCCAACTTGGCCGTCCAATGGGGCGTATGCGCATTGCGGTTTATCGAGCCGCTGTTGGTGGTCGGCTGTCGGCTGGGTGGTTGGATTTTGCACCACTCTAAAGCACTTTCATTGTCTGTTTTGAGTCATGTCAATATTTTGGTTTTAGCTAAGTAAAGATCATGATCTGTGGCGAGAGAGCTGATGAAATGTCCACATATTATTATTTAGCTAAGCTATTCCGGATGTTGTCAGAAAGTCAAAAACCTAAGTTTGAAATTAAGTTAAGTATATAGAACGGCAAAGCAGTTGACAGACATACATATACACGCTTCACTGGGGCTGTTGACTTTGGTTAATTAAAAGTCGCGCACACGTGTGCAAATATTCCGATAACGGGGCAAACAGACCCCAGAGGGTCCAGAGGTCGCCAAAGGTCGGCAAAGTACTGAACAAATCAAAACTTATTGTTGAATGACAATTAAGCAATATATAATGATCGCAACTGAGACATCTAAGTTAGGCTAGTTGGGAAATTCTGAATTGGCTCAAAACTTTGTCGCGACTTGAAAGTGCGGAAATAAAATTTCTATTCACTTCAAAATGACTTTAATTTTATTTGAAGCTACTAAAATGCTAGGCTAATAGGTTTTGTATTAATTGACCTAATTATTTAATTTATTTATAATAAAATATTGTTAAGCATTTAAATGTAGGTTATTATTCCACAGTAGCCCAACTTTAGAATTTTCTCATGCAAACTAGTTATGTTCATTAAAAAGACGCCTCTGCTTTGTGGTTCAGCTTAGTCAAATCGTGGAAATTATTTAAGCATTGCATACTTATTCATCACTACAAGGATGCTGCATATTTTGGGGCTTCTAAAATTTTGAAGTCTATAGCTAAATAATGATATAAATGTTAATATAATAAGATATACAGAAAATGAATATTTATGCCGGCTGGTTTCTTAAATTTGTTAACAAATTTTTCGGACGCTGTCTGCTGCCTTTTATTTATCAAAATGAATATTAATAAATAAAAATTCGATTAAAAATAGTAACGAATAAAATAATAATATTTATAATAATAATGAAAATATAGCTCACTGTTTTATGACTTTTTTTAATCTAAAGCATATGAATAAAATTTAAGAAAAAAATAATGCTTTCTTTATATATATTGTTTATAGTAGGTAATATCGTCTGCTTATGATAACATTAAAATTACCGTTCCACATCGTAGTCCATCTATTGTTTACAAATGGAACTACGASATAAAYAAAATACAAAAGCGTGCGCAAAGTCAAGCGCAAGCTGCCTGCTATGAAACTCGCATACGCAGCGTGTGCAGAGTAAACAAACAGCCGCTAGAACATTTTTAATGCATCACTGGAAATGGTGATTTTAAATTAAATTTGATTGCAATTTAATTTAAATGAAATTGAAATAGGAGTCTTTATAAGATATTTAAAGTACATTACAATAAGCTGTTGATTTATTTTTAAAGCAATTTCATAGACAGCAAGAATGTTGTTGGTAGCAAGCAATAGCTGCGCGCTACAAAACTTGAAAACATCGTTGAAGCTTTTGAATTGACCAAATCTCAGCGACTGCAACAAGTACTTACAATAACTATAAATATATTATATAAATTAAAATTTGAAATACAAATTTGAAATATTTATTTATTTATTTGTTTTTTTTTTTTTCCTATATATTTATGTGGTCGAAAGCTATTAAATGATTGTTTTGTAACAGCTGCGACTAATTTGTTACCATATATTACCGTACTAGTATATATTTATACAAATAAGTATTCGATTTATTGATATTTACGTATAAGTTGATTGCCAATTTAACTCCGATAATAAAAAAATACTTAAAAAGAAATCCTCTTTCAATGAAAACAAAACACGTTTGGCTTTTAAAAAATGAGTATTTTATTTAAACAAAAAATTGTGATATCAGTCTTTTGGCAAATTACTATCGCTCTTGCCCCTGCTGTAGGGACGGGTGCCGCCGAGCATGCGCTCGAGTAGGCTCTGCTTGGACTTGCGCTTGCAGGCGAGCACCTCCTTGCACAGTTCATTGAAGACCTCGGCGACCTGGTCGACATGATCCGCGGCGGAGACCTCACTGAATTTGCACTCAAAGTCTTTGGCCAGGATTTCGCCTTCATCTCGGCTCACTTGGCGCAGATGCACCATGTCTACTTTGTTGGCGCAGAGCTGAACGGGCGTATCCGATTGCAGATCTGATTTGGCACGGCGTATATAATTGAAGCTCTTGCGATCCGTTATCGAGTAGACGAGCAGCAGGCCATCAGCCCATTGCACCAGTTCGGCAGCATTGGGGTATTCATCGTCGGCCTGCAAATGATTCCAATTATAGTCGGCTGATATATATAGATAAATATCTATAAGTACATCTACCTTGGGACATGTGTCGAGTATTTCGAACAGCACCGGCTCACCATCCACCATGGACTCGTGCTTGTATCGATTCTCAGTCTGATGATCGTATTCGCCTATATAACGCTTCGTTAAGAAACGCACAATTAAAGCTGCAATTACATTAAATGGAAGTTTAATTTGGGGGCTATCATTGAGATCAGGTGTAAAGCGAGGCAACGCCCCTGGCCAAACAACCCCTCATCATACACACACACACACTCCACTGGGTCAGCACTTGAGCGGAAAAACTCCTACGGCAGTTAGAAATTCAAATGCACGCTAGACGGCTAGGCAGGTGGAAAAGCTAGAAAAATTGTAAACCTTGAGGGGTTAATAAACCCAGCTAACAACACAGTTGAGCCTTAAGGTTGCGTGTTGCAGCAAAACAAAGCAGAGAGGGAGAGAGAGAGAGAGAGAGAGAGAGAGAGAGAGAGAGAGAGAGAGAGAGGGCTGGACTGAGCCTTTGGTCATTTGCCATGCAAGTGCTTTGAACTCTGGCCAAGTCGCAGGAGTTAGCGAATGTATAATAATATATGACCCGGCCAGGTAGATACTACTGCCGGGTTACGCATTGCCTTGGCTCGTAAAGCTGTCCCACAAGTCCCTGCCAGTCCCCACGCTCCTGACCACTTTTAATGACATTTTCGTCATTTATTTTCATAGCAGCCGCACATTTCGCTCGCGTTTTAATTTATGCTTTTCTCCAAACGTTTTGTTTTATTGTGCTCGTCCTAGAAATTCAAGTGGAGTATATTAGTTTGGTGGATTGTTACGTTTATAATGCAGGTTGGTTTGTTAAGTGGTTTTCTTTTATGGTATGGCATGGTTACTATTTCCCCTAGGTACCTGTCACTAATATCCCCAACTTATGGACTGGATTGCATTTTCCTTGATTTCTTGCTTTCATATTCGAGCGCATATGGCGCAGTCAGGCATAGCCGATCGATTCTGGTATGTTTTGTTTGTTGTTATTTTGTCTTCGGGCGTTTCTTTTAAATATATTTTTACGAGGTCAACATCAAAATTTTTCTTGTTTAAATTACGACAAAGACTGGCCACACTGTCCATGTCCAATGTCCGCTGGGCATTAATCGGATGCGCGATGTTCGCTTCCCTGTCCACGGCCTTTCGCCGGGTGGGCGTCGTTTTAATTGCCACACACACACGCAAACACACACACACACACACACACACATACGAGAGCACACGCATGCCCCCGGCGCTTTAGTGCATTAAATATTTGTGCTATATCTGCGCGATTGTGGTTGAATGATATATATATATATCTCATATAAATATATATAAATGGTGTATATAGATAAATAAATATCGTACGTAATAACATATATATCATCTATATGATCTTGTCTGCTCAAAACATTTGCTGGCGTCTTAAAAAAAATTCCATTTAATAAGTACTTATTCCAATTTTTGTTATTTGCAAAACTTTTTCTTTAACGCAAAAGTACTTGGGCTATCTTTACAATGGGACTGTAAGATATATATGTATATGTGTGTTTATATCACCAAGTTTATCTTTTTTAGATAGGATTTGCTCTAGTTTCGTGAAGTGGGGACTGACATTGAACTTTCTAAGTAAAGGTTTAGCAGGCATCACTTGAGAAAAGCAGCTGAAGAAAATATTTGCCAACTTATATTATATATTGTAGAGTTTATTTTTATCTGAGCTGTGCTGCGAAATTCCGTTTACATTTATTATTTACACATTTTTTATTGCGTCTGGTATGCAGCAAAAATAAAGATCAGGAAAATATTTGCCCTCATTCATAAAGAAATTTGGCATAATGCAATTTCTTGATCAAGGCTAGTCTAGCATATATTAATGTATCTTTATATGTGTATATTTTCATGTTTTATTTCTATTGATAACTGATAAGTTTTATAAAGTTGATAACTGAGTGTTTTTCTTATATACTCTTTAAAATACAGACAAAAGTTGAGGCTAGTATGCAGCACATAGTTGGTATGCGACAGAAATAAATCAAATAAATTTATACATATAATACATATATATATTTATTTCTAATTTGTATGACCAACGCATGGCAATTATATATTTCCAATATAATATGAACAACATTATAAAATAAATATTAATATATGTGACATTTATAAAATACATTTTAAGCAAAAGTATTTCAAAACTATTTCAGAATATAAAATCCAAAAGATAATTAACTTTTATGGCTTTATACCCTAAGATACAGCATTCACTATAGACTTTAGCTAGCACGCAATCTTTAACTAAATATTTACAAACTTATGTGAAAATGCAAATTTGACTTTTAAAGAGTTTTCTGTGAAAACTTTCCATTTGAAATTCGAATGCCACACGCCTATGGGGTGCGACATTTCATCGGATACAGCTGTCAGTTGGTATCAAGGCTTAGCGTCAAGTGCTATTTATTAGTGAAGCGTATACGCTAGTCATATTTCTTGGCTGGCTTATGCTGGCCAACGGAACCATAAAGTAGCTGGGTGTTACCTGAAGTTGACAGATGCCAAGGCATGCGGAAGTCAAGCGGGTCGAACGAAATTTTACAAATTAAAACTTTTCTTCGTTGCGCTCTTAGGGGTGAGGGTCGTTGTGTCTACTGACAAGAAACATCAATTTGCAGTTAACTCTCGGCATGTGTGTGCGTGTGTGTGAGTGTGTGTGACACAGTGGCCGTCATAAATTAGTGGCTGCTGTGGGTGCACGCGTGTCAAATCGAACGGTGCAAACGATTAAAGCCAAATGCGAGCTACTCAAAGATACAAATACAAAGCGACAGATACAGATACAGATACAATCATAGCTACACTTGCAGATACAGATACAGATAGAGATATGTAAGTATATATTTAGCGGCATGCTTGGCTACACATGCACAGAGATACAGCTGAGTGTGTGTCTGTGTGTGTGTGTGCCTGAGTGTTTGCCTGTATGTGTGTCAGTGTGTGCTCCCACTTTATAAACAAAACAAACAACGATCTAAATATATACGAAATCGGCGATTGCTCAACTAATTTGCTGTTGCTCGCTGTTGTTTGTAGTCGATGTTGCTTATGCCTTTATTTTTTATTATTTTCTTATTCTTTTTTTTTTTTTTTTTAACGTTTAAAACTCTATCTTACCGCTCTTTCCAACACTGGGCGCGCCAATAACTGCGATTTTCAATTCTGTCAGCGTAGACTTTTTACGCCGTATGCCGCGCGTCGTCATCTCCGTTTGTTGAAATAGCCCAGTTTACCGTATTCACTTTGAATATATATATTGATGCGAATCTATCTGTCTCAATATATATGTATATATGTATATATATATTTATATTTATATTTTTCTTTTTCTGTTATTTTGTTTTTGGCCAATACGCCAATAGCTATATATCCGTTGTCTGTTTTCACGTTGAAAAATTATGCGAATATCACAACAAGCGCCAAGAATTGGCCTTAAATTACATTTAAACTCTAGAGATGTGGTTCCTTCCTTTTAATTGTTTTTTAATTAACTAAGGGGAGTGTGTTGTCTTCGCTTAGATGAACATTTAATTTATATAATAGTCTCTCTAAATTATGAAATGCACGTTGCACTGTTCCATGTCTTCAGCTATATACAAAAACTATGAAGATTCCTTGATTTATTTATTTATTTAGTTTGGCAATCCGTAATTTTCAGCTGATCTGCTGAAAATGTCTTTTATTCTTGTTGTTGCTCGCTGTTTTGGTTTCTCTTAGTTTTGCCCGCAAAGTCATGCGATTTGTACGACTAACGAATTTGTACTAAAATCAAAATCTGTGCTACGCCGGAACCGAACGGCGCACACACGGATCCGAACAAGATCGCCAAACATACGCCGCTGCCCGAACGAATCGGGCAGCTCTTTCTTCTTATTTTTTTGCGAACGAACATTTCCAAACCAAAAATAGCTGCTCCATAGAGCACCATCGACCACAGGCAACCAGCAATGGGTTAAAGTTTACTCTTGAATAAAGTCAAAGGCTAATCGTATGCCTACGGAATAGCCGACTGCACTCACGCTGATTGATCCGATCATTAGATCGGAAAAGTTGGCTCATTTTCGGGTTTTTTCTCTGCCAGGGAGATAGTAAGATGGAAAGAGAGAGAGAGAGATGGAGAGAGAGGGATGTGCTGAGTGCCAGTAAAAGTCATCTTAAATTAAATTTAATTAGTACAGCTCCATCTGGCAAAACAGCTGTTCGAAAGGCAAATGCTTTTTGTGATCATCGATCAGTGAATAAAAAGCCGCGAGAGACTGTTTCAGAAATCGAAGATGTATTCTTACATAAATGTTGATTTTTTTCCAAGAATTTATGAATTTTGGAAAACTGATTTCTTCTTCGTTTATAAAAAATATCTAAGCAATGATAGGCTTCAAAGAATCTAATATTAAATTTTTTATTAATATATTTACAGACCAAAGCAAAGTTAAAAGAATTGTTAATTCTATCTATATTTTTTTTAACAGATCTCGCATATTAGACGGATAAAATATATTTAATTCTAAATGGATTTTCACTTAGAATTTTTGATACCTTGACTTTCGCTTTATAACTGTAGTGTTAGCCAAGATTAACCACTCTAGAATATACATTATATTCCAAAATATACTTAAATTACAGGGTGTGCTTTATGTGCATAAGGGATCTTCTACACTCAGTCGAAGCCCCTCGCCTCAAGCCTAATATTGCCCCATTAAACATCAATATCTTCACATGCCATTGCGTTAATCAATATTTTACCAAAAATATTTACTTAAAAAGCATTTGAACTAAAATTTTGTATAGTGCAAACAGGAAAATACTCACCCCTCAAACAATAAACAACGTTTATTTGGGAACGTTTGAAATGTCTTTTAGTTATGCATTCTACTTAATTAGGGAAATTGCGTTTGGCGCATATCAATCATATGCTTCTATATATTCTGTGTACACACACATGCATCAAAAACACCCTCGCGCACGTGGATAACTGTTTACTGTTTACTGTTTATATAGGGCAGACGACGCGGCGTCCTGCGGGGGTGTGTCTGATTGTAGTCTGCGTGTCTGCGTGTCTACGTGTCTGCATCTAAGGGTTGAAATACGAGACACAAAAATTTGGTCAACACATTTCGTTTGCCGGAAAATCTTTGCACTTGCCGTGCCTTCAACCGACAGTTGAAATTTCAACTGCTATCCAAGCACAGCTGTGGTTGAAAGGGAAGCTCGCGACATATGTAAACGATTTTGTTTGTATACGATACGAGGCATTTTCTGGAAAGAAACTTGGCTTTACTCTTATCACTAAATAGGCGTGTAAATGATTGTTTGCTTGAAGGTTTGATAAGTTGAGGCACTATATCTATGTCAAAGGGAAAGTGATTGTTTGATTGCTCTATTAGAATTGAACTCTTTTGGAGTAATCTTGATAGAACTTGGTCTACGTGCTACTCTAGTAGCTCTATCAAATGATTTCTTATATAGATTCCACATCTGTTGAAAAATATAGTCAATCTTAAATTCGTAAATCTCTTAGATGCCATTAAAGAAACCATCAGGAGAAACAGAAATATGTTTTTGGTTTGGAAATATTTAAGTGATTCGTAAGACAGTTTCTCTTCCTTTACATAACAAATTGAAAATATATTTATTATTATTTAGTACGAGAGTTTATTCCATAACTGAACATTAAACACTTTTATTTATTACATTTACGAGTATATTGAATTTATAAATTTATTCACTATTAATTGTGTATATAATATGTATGTATATGCCTTACTAAAAATGCATGTTTCATTCAGTTTTCCCATTTAAACAAAATTTGTTGCAGTATTGTTACAAACTTGCTAAATATTTACTAGGGTATTACAGCTAGGGCAATCCTTAGCAATCTCTCGTATATACATATGAGTAGATCGTCTTATAAAATGATTTAGTGTGCACAGACATGCACGGCGAATTCATGGCACCCTAAAAGCGTGCATTGCTTTGGCATGCCGTATGAAACGGTCTACGGTTCGCCGTAAAGTCTGCTACAGAATGTTCGCTCTCTCGTTCACTCGACACACTCTCTCTCTCTCTCTTTCACTCTCTCTCGCTCTCTTATACAATTGAAATTCATAGCAGACCAGCTGAACATGCTGCTTGCCGCTTGGTCTTCTACTAAAAGTTGTTTCTGCTGGTGCTGCTGCTGTGGTTGAGGTTGTGGTGGAGGTGTTCGTGTTGGTGGTGCTGCCGCTGCCGCTGGCTGCCCAGTGACAATTCGCTTGCTTCTGCTTGGCTGCTCGAGCGCTTCGTCGTTTAGTTTTCACTCGAACGGCAAAGCGTTGGCAACGCACGCGGAACGCGCACGTCTATAAAAAAGAGGCGAAAATTGCGAGGCGAACGTTTTGGCTTCAGCTGCCGCCAAAATAACAAAAACAAAACCGAAAAATGTAATGAGAAAAATAAAAAAAAATATACATATATAAATATATAAAAAGCAACGTTTTTTGAAAACACCGCGCGAGCTTTTACGTGTGTTGTTGTTGTTGTTGTTTTTATAGTTTTTCTGTGCTTCTTTTTGGCCAATTGTCTTTTTGTTTTTGGTTTTTCGAAATTTATTTTTGTAGCTTTAACGTATATCAAAATACTATGCGGTGTTTTTGGCTTTTATAGCCGCTGTTGTTGTTGTTGTTTATAGTTTTTCCTGCGTTTGCGTCTGTTGAATTTAAATATTTCAAAACGTATCAAAAAAAAAAAAAAAAAAAAAAAAAAAAAAAAAAAAAAAACAGAATTATATTTGAATACGCGACATTTGTGAAACTAGTGCGTGATTTTTAGCAGTTTGTGCTCATCAAATGAATATCGAATGCGAAACTTAATGCCATAAACAAATTCGAATTTTAAATTTTAAAATTTTATTTAGCATATAATTGTTTAAAGTAAACAAATATCTGATGCTGCATGTGGTGTCAAGAATTTTCCAAAATTTACCGGATGCATAAGAATTTCATTGGAAAATGGATATATAGAAGTCTTATTTCAACTATACAAATATTTGATAAACTATATTTAAACATATGAAAAAATTCATATACTTATATATATGTAAATATGTATAATTTTAAAAAATTAAACATGTTGTGATATTGATACCCTGTAAATTCTTATTAGCACAACTTTCTATGTATTGTCCAGACCCAAGCTCTAAAGTAAAGCTTCTTATGAGTTATATGATCTTTCAGTTGTCTAATCTTCAAGATTGGCCTCTCCTACAGCACACACGAACGGTATATATATATAGATTTGTGTATATTTTTAAATATACATCACATTGAGTCACAATCAAGCCCACTCAAATATTGTGATGTCATTTTTGTTTGGCTGCGTTCGTTTTGAAATCAAATCAAAAGCGAAAACTGTAGCCAAACGGCAGCTTAGGTAGAAGACGAACCAAAACAGTTCAAGCCTACAAAACGCAGAAAAACCCGTTTCTGTCGAGGACACGCACATGGCAAGGAACAGAGGGCAGGCGGGGGCGGAGGGTAGGGCGTCAAGGATATACCATGTAGGAGCCAAACACAGCTGAAAAGTAAAACAAAGCAAAAGACATGAAAATGAAGTCATCAGCTTCATTTAGAGCAGCCAAACTAACAGCGACTGAGTACGACTGCAAGATACCCTTTCAAATGTAGGTGTTGCTTGTTTGGTCTCAAACTGATTTTCATAATAAAATTCGATAAACGCCGGATAGATATCCTATAAATATATTATAATATAATACAATGTTTCAAAAGATTCGATGACTTTAAAATATTTATAAAAATGTCCAGAATATTGCAAAAAATTGGCGAACCACTAGGGGGTACTATGAATATACAATACATGATTATGATCTGATATGATCATTGAAAAATCTAGTTGATCGACTAAATAGATACTGCTGCAATTCACTTAGAATTGACTATTAGTTTATTGAAGAGTATATAGAGTATTTTGACTATATAAACCTTCCGACCAGCTTGAAAAATTAATATTTTAATGCATATCATATGCAAATTCTTAGAGATAATAGCTCTGTAGATCTATCATGAAAGCCTTGGCTAGTCAACATATCTTTCTCTTATTTGATCTACCCTGTCAACACAAGCTCTAAGTTACAGGGCATAAAAATCAATGAAAACTATATAAACATAAACCTATATCTACTCCTAGTTAAGTGCTTTTTACAACTCTGTCGGTTGTACGCAATGAAAAGTGCAATTTGTGTGGCGACTGACCGGCGCCAGAGCCATGGGAAAATTACTCAATGCAGCAACCCCCCGCCCGCTCACCTTTTAAAACTGCACCCTACGAACGGTTGGACTGCGCCTGCCCTCCGGCGCATTTGGTTGCTGTTTTTAACATTTTCCACACCATTTGGCTGCGTAATTAAATTAGCCAAAACGAAACTCAATTGACGCAAGGATAATGCCAGCTCACACAGGCGGGACGGTTTCGGGGGTTGTAGGCGTCTGTGGCAGCAGGTGGGAGTGAAGGAAGTGGAAATAGCGCGTAACCTTGGCAACTAATTGCGGAGCAGCGCTCGGGGGAGCATTAAACGCCGCGTGTGACAGCCGCCAGCAGTAAATGTTCAGGACAAAAGTTACGCAAGCCCCGCGAGGACAATCAATTTGATACTCTATAATCATGAATTATAGCACCTTATCTAGTATGGAGAGAGGGAATTAATTAGTGGGTTCATATATTTTGTGATAGTTTTAGGGCTGTCGTAGGATTAGTTAAAAGGCGTCCTTT